AGCTCTGACCTCTCGGCTTTTCTCTTTTACCTTGGCTCTGTGTTTCTTATTTTAATAATACGATTGGTTACATCTACAGATGGCTCAGGGCTTAAGAGAGCTGGCTGCTCTCCCAGGACCTGCACTGGATTCCTAGCACCCACATGACGACGACTCTAAACTGTTTGTCCCTCAAGTTCAGGGGAATCCAACACCCTCTTCTAGCCTCCATGGACACCTTGTATACACACAGTATGCCGACAGAGATAGGCAAAACACCCTTCCACATAAAATATAAATAAATAAATAAATCTTTTTAAAAAGTTAAAAAAAATTAACTAAACAATGGTAGATGCCTAGCTCATAAACAATGCATATAAAATATAGTTTGAAAACAGTAAGACTTACATAGTAATACAAGTGTACATATCACTGAACTATAAATTTAAAAATGGCCAAAATGCTCAAATTTTGCAATGCAATATAAAAGCTAACATCTTTGACAATAGACTTCATTAACAGGTTTGTAATCTTACTTTTAGATTTACACCTTAGCAAAAAGTTAAAAGCCCCATGATTGTATCCTGAAAAGAAGATGGAAGTAAAAAGCTGTCTTTCCTGTTCAGACTTAAATTTGAACACTAGCTCTGCTCCTTATAAATGCCAACCAGTTATATTAGCCCCTTTCTTCAACAATGACCATTTCCTCTACCTTCACAGCTATAGCAGCTTAATAAGATATACCATCAGTGGGCACAGCAGCTTCTAACATTATTGTTCTTGCTACTGCTACTAATCTTACTACAATCCCAGGAGAAATTCTAAGAACTTTCTCAGGGTTAGTACACTCTATTTTAGCTAAAACACACCAATATATATTAAGTGGTTTACACATTTTAGCAATATATTAAAAACCTGTAAAATTTCTTAGTAAAAATCCAAAGAGCTACAACATAGTTTTAAAAATTACATGAAACTAGGAAGTTTGGGGTGTTTTTTTTTTTTTTGTAAAATTATATGCTATTATGAGTAAATAATAAAAAGCAATGATAGGCTAACACTCATCCAGTCAAAAACTGTAAATAAAATTACAAAAATAATGTTCTTGGAATTTAACAGGTATTCTAGTCCATTTTAATGACCAGTCTTTAAAAAAAAAAAGGTCTGAGTGCCATCTAGTGGATAAAAAATAAATGAATACAGGAAAACCAGAGCCTTTAAATTACTGCTTCTTTTTTGTAGTGTTCATTAATTTACAGTAGTCTTAGGTACCTGTGAGTTTATAAGGTTAGGCAAAATAAAATAACTATTTTTATTATAGTTTATCTTCAATAAAATCAAAGACAATTTATGTTAAAGTAAAAAAGACTAAGTAAAGAAATTACAGAAAAAAATGTTTTTAGCAAAAGGCAAAGATTAAAAACCAAAGAGGAAAATCCAAAACAAAAGTAAAATTAGGACAGCTGAATAAGATTCAGACAGAATTTTTCATTAACGGCCACCTTGCCACCTGCTGCTCCAAAGGAGTCCTCCTCCCCACCCCCTTTTAGACATCTCCAGCCGCTGTCGGAGCTCAGGCTCGCCTCAGTGCTTACCTAGCCTACTGCAGGAACTGCTCTTCTCTCTGGTCTGTCTTCTCCTGGGCCTCAGGCAAGGCTGGGCCAGCACGATCTGTCCAAGTCCTGACTTAGGACTATGCTCTTTTGTAAGGCCCTCTTGAATTTGGTTAGTATATACAATCATCCTGGGAATAGGTAACTGTTCTCTTTACTGTGTTCGTTCTCAAGTTTGTACAAACTCACACGAAATACCCAACTATGATGTAAACACCTGTTTCTTGACCTGTCGACAATGATCTCTCTGGCAGAAAGTGACCATGGCTTACTTCTATTTATACCATTTGATACGTGTTGTACATATGTCAACAGGTGGGAAACAAAGAACAAAGGAAATTAGGAGACTTCTTACCTGTACAAGCTCATTGAGGACGACCGCGTCAAAGCCAGAAAGGTACTGCACGTAGTACCTCTGCATTACTGGCCCATACTTCCTGACATGGGCTCTAAGTTCTTCCATGTAAAATATCAGCTCAGCAATGTGCCTGGGTGAAAAGTCAAAGCAAAGGTTTCAGAGAATAAGTTCACTGTTGTCACAGAATATACTAAATGTTTCTGGTATTATTTCTAGAACTATTCCCCTAAGAAAGGCTATGAATTTTTAATGTCAATCACTTCCTTTTAAAATTCTTTTATATCAACAAAAGCATGGAAAGAAAATTGCTAAGACTGAATACTAAGAATATTCAAATGCTACATCATTTTTTAAAAAAAGTTGGTCAGAGTATTAACAAGAAGTAAGATTTTCTGTATGTACTCATTTCTATTTTCAATCCTCTACCTGACTGAAACACCAGAGACTAAAAGATATTTCAAATGCCACACTGATGGCAACAAGTCCATGTTACGATTCTTATTTAATGTTTTGTGCAGTATTAATTCTGAAAACCAAATGCATAGGATATATATTACTGGACAGAGCCAAAGAACAACTTTCTGATCACTACTATAATAGAGAGAAACACTAAAAGTCTTAAGAGTTTTTGTATTCTAATTACATCATTTAATACCACCTTACCAACATTTCTTCTATTACAAATATAAAGAACCACAAAGAGTTTTTCAAAACATCTTTAACATCTTTGCTTTAATAAAAGTCCTCAGACTCATGACCCATAAATCAAAATAAACAGGAAATAGATGTTCCTCTAATGTGACTAACTTACTTATCTATAAAATCATCTGCACTCTTCTTTGGCATGTTATCTGCATGACGGAGTAGCCAGATAATTTCATCACGGGCAAAAGATAATGCCATGAAAACAAAAAGTGCCTATTAAAAAAAAACAACAACTGATTATTCAATGACTAAGGACCAAGACTGCTCATAGTCTTGCTCTAAGTGAAAAGTCCCAAGCAAGAAATAATACTAAGTTTAAAAGAAGCAGTCAGTACAAGACAGAGCACAGAGCAGTACCCAAAAAGATGAGTGTTCATAAAAGAAAAGAAGAAAAGAGAGAAGTGGGATGTTGAGCCTCAAGTAGGCAAATCCATTCTTGGCTCAAACTTGAGTCAAATTTCATAAACAGAACATGCCTTTCCGCTGTTGACAGGGCACATTTATCAGTCAGTTACCTTGGGACCAAGCAGGCCAGGCTGATCAGAGAGGACGGTTGCCAGTTCTTTCAGTGCAGACCGTAAGAACTTGCGCCTTTCTCTGTGCATTGAGCCACTGTAGAGAAAGATATCATCACATGTCACTCATGCTTCACTCGGGCGGAAAACGTAGACACAATGATAACAGAAAAAGAATGAAGATTTAAAACTTGTGATTTGCCGTCCTCCATAGAAACACTGATGGATCAGACAGTATCACCATTTCATCTTCTCTAAGCTCATGGGAGAATATGTCATCATGTATTAAACATCTATGTTGAGGTATCTATTTCGTAAGGAAACTGGAAAGTTGTTTACAGATCTGAAATACAGTCATTTCTACAGATTTCTTAATTTCAGAATATAAAACTGGAGCAAGGTGAGGAGTTCACATACTGTGAAAGTGTATTATGTTCTCCCATTGTTTGTGTTAATGTGAGAATGTAACAGTTCTCCTGAAGGTGAACAAAAGTCAGCCCAGCTTGGAAAGCACTGCTGTGGGGAACACAGTGGCAGCAGGAGCTAATGGCTAGGACCTGCAGAGCACCTGCCACCAGTCTAGACCAGCTGAGTCTGCTCCCCAGAACCCACGTGGTGGACTGAGAGAACTAATGCCCACAAGGTGTCCTCTGGCCACAATATATGTACTCTGACATAAGCAGTCATGCACTCATGCCTATTCTCACTAACTAAATACATGTAAAAAAAAATTTTAAACAGGTAACAACTAAAATAAAGTCCTTTGCATGGAATTTCTTTATCAGTATTTCAAAACATCTAAGATCTACACTAATTACAAAGTTACCAGTAATATAAAGGTTATATACTTACTTTTCCTTCAATACAAAGTTCTCATCTTATACATTTGCACATCACTAACCTGTCTTCATTTAACAAAGTAGTATTTTAAGAAGAAATTTCTCACAGATGAACTACTCACGCATGTGATACAGCTGCCTCCTTGCATTCTCTTATGTCATTAATACGTTTATTGTAGCTGTGTGCAAGGAAAATATGAACCATGTCAATCTTGATTTGAAAGAAAGTCAAAGAAGTAAAATACAGAAAGTCAATTTGAAATGCTTATTTTCAACAATAACAATGATTTACAAAGGAAATGACAGGTGAAGTCTATCAATCTAAAATGTATTTTCCAAGTACTTTGCATACTCAAATCAAATCTTCTTAGAAAGATAGCATTAGTTACAGTAAATCCAAAAATAAAATGAAACCTCATGATGCGCATTTTCATTACATTTTGTTATTTCCTTAAGCTCTAGATACATTAAAATTTCCTTTTGATGCAATTAGGTGACTGCCAAGTATCTAAAGTACTCAAACAATGATTTGCTGTGGGATGTTCTGTATGTCCTGTGGGAGCCCTTCTTGGGTTCT